CCACCTTCATATTTCTCAACAATCTCTTTTTTCAGTTCCATTATGATTCTAGTCATTTTTTTAGTTTTCTGTTGCTTTTCATTTGCCTTTTTGCAATTCATGATTAATAAAAATAATAAAATTTTACTTACAAATTAAAATCAGAAGAAATTTAACAAAGTTATAAACTGTGGCACTGTGAACATCTAGTCTGCTCTAGTATACTGATAGTGCTACTTGTTCATAGATGGCGCGTATAATTGAATTAAGTCGTATACCGAACAAAAGTCGTATACCGAGCAAAATTTGTTTCGTCCAAACAGGACGTATTCCGAATTTGACGTATTCTAAAGCAGACGTATACCGAGGTACCACTGTATTAAGTTACAACTATAATTATTAAATTTACAAACAGATGATGATCTAACTGCCTACCTCTAGTCAAATTGCTTTATATAGTAGACTCATTAATTAAACTCATATAATTCAAATATTCTGGTAGTTCAAACTGGACACTAGTTCCCATCTGATTCTTATTTAAATCAATGTAAAATTCTCTCAGTTATTCAAACTCAATTGTGCTACCTCCTGTTTGTTCAAATTAAGATGCTCTTAATCCATGTTACTAGATAGACATCATCATCCCATTTTTGAAATTTAAGGATCAAATTTAAAACTAATAAATTAATTTAAAGAAACTTAAATTTAAAAATAAATTAATAAATTAAAATGTAAAAATATTTTTGACATTTTTGAATCTTGAAACCATAATAAAAAAAATTAAAAAATCAACATGAAAAAGTAATATTAAATTTTTTTCTTATGTATAAAGTTAAAAATTTTGAAATTTAAAGATTTTTATTAATATAAATATGGCTTCAGAAATTTTTTGAAACTTTATATATATTAAAAATTAATAATTGTTTTTCTATTAAAAATAATTCTGAATTACATAATTATAGTTGGTTTTAAAAGCTTTTCTTGTATACATAAAGTATANTGGCTATCACAGAAGTATATGCCAGTGGTGGAAAAGCACTTTTTTGGTCAAGTGAGACTGTTTTTCTTTGATTTTGTCATCCAGCTGTTGCATCAAATTGATATAAACATGTAATCCAATAACCTAAATTTTAATTAAAGCCAGACAATCTGCCAGATTATTGGGCTATATTAAGGCTAATTTTAATAATTAAATATAAAGTAATTTGACTAGAGGTAGGTAGTTAGGCTTCATCTTTTGATAAATTTAATAATTATAAATAAATATTAAGTTACAACTATAATTATTAAATTTACAAACAGATGATGATCTAACTGCCTACCTCTAGTCAAATTGCTTTATATAGTAGACTCATTAATTAAACTCATATAATTCAAATATTCTGGTAGTTCAAACTGGACACTAGTTCCCATCTGATTCTTATTTAAATCAATGTAAAATTCTCTCAGTTATTCAAACTCAATTGTGCTACCTCCTGTTTGTTCAAATTAAGATGCTCTTAATCCATGTTACTAGATAGACATCATCATCCCATTTTTGAAATTTAAGGATCAAATTTAAAACTAATAAATTAATTTAAAGAAACTTAAATTTAAAAATAAATTAATAAATTAAAATGTAAAAATATTTTTGACATTTTTGAATCTTGAAACCATAATAAAAAAAATTAAAAAATCAACATGAAAAAGTAATATTAAATTTTTTTCTTATGTATAAAGTTAAAAATTTTGAAATTTAAAGATTTTTATTAATATAAATATGGCTTCAGAAATTTTTTGAAACTTTATATATATTAAAAATTAATAATTGTTTTTCTATTAAAAATAATTCTGAATTACATAATTATAGTTGGTTTTAAAAGCTTTTCTTGTATACATAAAGTATAAAATTTTTTTCTGATCATAAATTTTCTAATATGTTGTTGTATTTGATTGAACATTAATATATATGATTTTGTATATCCAACTATTTCAACATTTACTTTTTATTTTATTAAATAGCTTCTTTACAAATTGTGGATGCTCAAGAAGAAGATCAAGGCAGCTATGAATGTGTTGGAGAAAATATTGCTGGTACAGCTTTTTCAAATATGGCAACTCTTTATGTTAGAGGTATAGATTTTATTTTTATATAAAGTATTTTAATAATTATATTAAGTATTAATTAAGTATTTTAATAGTGTATTACATTAAATTTAATTTTATAAGAATTTAAATTTTTTTTATTTGCTTGGATACTTTATTATTTTCAAAGTGAATAAAAAAATTTTATTTTGTTTATCTTTTTATACTTTTACTGATAAAATTTTTAGAATAGTATTGAGAATTTCAAAAGTAGAAGAAAACTAAAAATTATGTTAATAAATTTAATATAAATTATACTTGTGAAAACAGTTAAAATATTTTGTTAAAGAATTCTACTGTCTGTCGTATTTTATAATTTTTTCAAATAATAATTTTCTTGGACAATATTTTTAGTAGTCAAAAGATATTGTTTCTTAAAATGATCGTTGAAGTGATATCATCTTCATTATTAATTATTTTTCAAGTAACTAATAATTCTTTGTTGTTTACTTATCATCACCTATTACATTTAATTTTTTTTTCCTATTTGCAATTGTTAGAATTGTTATTTACTTTTAAATTTTATTTAATCAAAGTGATATTTTTTTTGTTAATGAAAAAAATTATGTTATTCTAAAACATACTTTTATTTAATGCAAATACAATAAAATCTTCTGTTAACAATATTCATTTAGCCAATTCATTGGATTAACTGAATTTTTCCATAAATAAATCATAAAGGATGAAAGAGAACGAAATGGTTGGGATGATAGATGCTTCATTAATGAAGATGATACATGAATACAGTTTGCAGAAAATTTCGGCTTGTATTAAAAACTAAAAATTTCTCAGTATTTTAAGTTATGTTTATTTCTTCATTATAATATTCTAATTTAAACAATTTTTTTAATTACTTAAAGTAAAATTTGTCCAAAATGAAACCTTAATAAAACAGAAACCTGCCTAAATGGGAAAAATTCTTTGGAACACAACTATATTCTGTGTTAAAAAAAAACATTTAAAACAAATCTACCAAACTGGAAAAAATATTCAGTACTGTGCAAGTCTGGTTTAGACAGGTTTTACTGTAATAAATAGCAGATGTTTTTCACATTGATAAGACAGTTTTTACTGTATTTTGTCATATTATTTTAAAGAAATAAGTAGTGACAGAATAAAACATAACACAAATCAACATTTTAAATATTTAAAAGAAAAGAAGTGTTTATAAAAGTGAATGTATGCTATAAAAGTAGTAGTTTCATGTAATTTGGTGAAATATTAAATAATATAGTTCAGTTAATTTTGCTGTACAAAGTTATACTGTGAAATGCTAAAAATAAAGAAATTCTAAGTGAATTTATTAATGCTTTTATTCTAATAAACCTATTTATATAAATTACTTATAATCTCCTATTGAATTCTAAAACAATTTATTACAATTAATAATAATATATCGATAATATACAATTGAAAGTGTAATATTATAAATAAAAAAAATAAGAATGAGTATTAGTGTTTTATTAAATATTGTATAGTTTAATAAAAAAGAATAACTTAAAATTAAAAAAATAAGAAATGAGAGAATAAAAAATTCACATTTTTGTATAGTTAATACTCTATGGAGTTATTTTTAGTCTAAATACTTTTTGTTTTAATTCTAGAAACAGGTATAGTTAGTTGTTTTAAATTACATATACAGTAGAACCTCCATTATCCGGACCTCTATTATCCGGATTTTTGATTATCCAGATTGTTCAAAATAAACAAAAATTTTACAAATTTGCTGATTTGCACTTGGCGAATTACGACACTGTTTATGTACGTGATGGAATGCATAACTTTTTTTGTTTCAACAACGTCTCACCCAGCACAGTGGTCGTAAACTCTTAAATATATTTTACGTAGTAATAAAAATATAACTTGACATACGTATTTATAAATAATTTATATTCAAATTACATCATTTCTATGACCAAGGGCGGCGTAAGGCATGGACGACGTGGGCCACCGCCTATGCCTCGCGGTCCGAAGGGCCTCGCGCCTCGAAGGTTTATGCATTACTTAAAAGCCGCGAACGCGACGAAAAAATTTTACTCGTCATAAAACGATAAATAGTTTGTCAAATTTTTATTCATAAAAATGCAGTTTCAACTGCTTTTTATTTTATAAAATCCGTCTTCTTGCGCCACCAGAGGGCCTTTTAAACAATAGGTAGTCTGTTAGCGTTGGTCAGTAGTAGTCCAAATTCAATACGAACGTTTGTTTCTTGAAAATTTGATCACGATTTAAATACAGTATTTACTTTTAATATTACTGATATGTCATCGAAAAGAAAACGTGTTGTATTATCATTAAAAGACAAATTAAAGTATTTGTTTCGATTATCCGGATTTTTCCTTATCCGGACTACCTTCATCCCCAATTAGTCCGGATAATCGAGGTTCTACTGTATTAATAAAGCTTGTTATTTTTCTAAGGTTAGTGTGAATTAATAAAACTTATATTTTTAGATTATTTCACATAGTGACTTCTAATTTTTTTCACTAGCATTTATTTTTCACAAATCAATGTTTATATTAATTATTGACTGTAACAGACTATAGTAATTTATTGATTTGAGATATTTAAATATTTACTATATAAATAAATTTGATGTTCAGATAAACTTCAACAGTTGTACAAACCATTAATTAGAAGACAAAATTAATTTATTTATGTTTTGTGTTTAGTTTAGTGAACAGTGAGGAAGATGCAGATAGATTGCTTTATCACACAAATCATCTGTGATTAAATGTTAGTGAAAAATAGTAAATGGAGAATAATTTTGAAAAAAGTAAAATTGCAGTTATGCTAAATCATTGCTCGATGTATAGATATCTATTTTATTAGATTTACTATTTACAAATGAAAGATGAGTTTGGAATCGAGTTATCTAAGATTGACTATATCATGATCATTGATGTAAAATCTTATATTGGATAGAGGTTTAACTAGGCTGAAATACATTTCTTTGGTTCTGTATTTCTAAATGCAGTGATAAAGATATAAAATTGTGTGAAAGCAAAAATACGATTTGTCTTGCTTCTAAGCAGAAGTTTTATCATTAATGATTTATGTTTTTCAAAAAGGTGTTTTTGAGAGTTTTAATATAAAATTGTACATGGTCCTGGGATCACAAGAAAAATTATTTATAATTCTATTTAAATACTTTAAGTTAAGAATTTTGCTAGTTTGGTGGTAGTTCTCTTAGTTAAATGATGAATGTACAAAAATCTTGGGTTGCCTCTTGTTGTCCTTTATTTTCAGAAGTTTGTTATTTTTCATTTTTTAGAAAAAAGAATGCTATTTTTGGAAGTTGAGATTAAAGTCTTTGTATGGTATATATTTATTTAAAGAAGAATGTAAATGGTTGTATGTTATCTGTGATTGACAGAAAATTAAATTTACAAATGTGCTAAATTGATGTTTGAAAATTCAAAATTTGTAGTGAATGGTTATAAGTTGTAATAGATGAAACATTCCACAAGTGCTGTGTAGCATAGTCTGTTAAATGATCATTATTTAATGGTAGCTGCCAAATATGTATTGTTCTTGTATCGATTCCCGAAAGTTTTTAAAATATTTTTTTTTTTTAAATATTTTGTTGTTTCTAATATTTTTTTAATTTGGTAAAAATTATAGAATTTTTGCATTTGCATATTTAATAAAATACTCACATAAATCAGAACCATCACTTTAATCTTCATATTTCTAGAAGTTTCAGTTTTGGTTTTATTTTGAAGTAAGATGAAGCAGGATCGGAGGTTGTAAAATTCAAAATATTAGTTTTAGTAGAATTATTAGAAAGCAATATGAGTATTAGAAATCTTGTGAAATGGCACTGTCACAGGAAAATCTTTGTAATTGACCATCAATAAATGAAGAATTCCCAACAACCAACATTGAAAGTGATGAGTTTGCATTTATTGCATCATATGAAAAACAGGATATTACGGGTGGCTTAAAATTTTGTACAGTAGAACCTCGAAAACTCGGCTCTCGATAACCCGGCACTCCGGATAACTCGGCCACACCCTGGCAGGGCAAAAAAATCCTTAGTTAATTAATTTTCATTATAGACAGCTTTATAAAAGTATAAAAGCTCTCNACAGGAAAATTTTTGTAATTGACCATCAATAAATGAAGAATTCCCAACAACCAACATTGAAAGTGATGAGTTTGCATTTATTGCATCATATGAAAAACAGGATATTACGGGTGGCTTAAAATTTTGTACTTACATTTTGAAAAGTTAAATGTTATCAAAGGCCCAGCAAGTGAAACCATATTGATAAAAGCAACAACTTTAGGTGAAAAATTTGCTACAACTATTATTGACATTTTGAAAGAATGGGATTTTGACAAAATAGAAGAATTATTCCTGCTAGAAGAAAACATCCCAGAAAAGGATAACGGAAAAGACATTCTGCACAGTTCCAAATCATCTTCAACAGAAAAATCACTTCCATCTAACTTAGTAGCACTTCATATTCAATTGTGTCAGATAGTGAAGATTATGAGCCAGAATCTAAATATGTTGAAAGCAGAATACATATTGCTTGACACAAAAATTTAAAATTCTGAATTTGATAAGAGAGAAAATGAGCAGTTTCTAAGAAATATTTATGTTTTATATGTTTTTATGATGTATATCATTTGACAAATTGTAAGCCATTATAATAAAGTTTAAAAATTAACAATAAGATGTACAATAAATACACTGTCATTTATTTCTGATTATTTATACAAATATTTTTATTAAATATGCAAATGCAAAAATTCTATAATTTTTACCTAATTAAAAAATATTATAAATAATAATGTATTTAAAATAAAAAAATTAAAAAAAATTTTAAAACTTTCAGGAATTGATACCAGAACAATACTTATTCATCAGCTGCTGTTAATTAATGATGGCCATGTTTTTTTATGCAGTGAGAGTGTAGCAAAAATGATGTCAGAAGCAGCTATCATTACACGTCTCTGCATCATAGTTTAGAAATGCTTTCTGCTCAAGCGAAACATGGACACTGTAATCTATCCTTTAATTCCAGTTACAGCCAAAAGTAGTGCTTTAGTTAAAAAACTATATTTAAATAAAGAGATATAAAGAACTGAGCATTTATCTTTCCAAAAATATGAGCAAAGAGATAGATGTATAATTATATTTAAAATGTAGTATTTTCTTACTCTTTAGATAACTTTCAGTGTCATTTTATAAAATTTAATTCTTGTTAATCTTTCCATAATATTTTTATCAACAGTCACTTCAACTTTTTTATTTTTACAGCATAATATCATATTATACACACAAGCATCCATTTGCTTTACATGTGTAGCGGATGTAAAAACTGCTTTTATCTTTGCTTCAGTGACATCTTGCAGTAAAAATTTAGAAACGGTTTGCTACATTGCAGAGCTGCATAAATAAATGTGGCTGATCATTTAACAGACTATGCTACACGACACTTGTAAAATGTGTCATCTATTACAACTTACAATCATTTGTTACAAATTTCAAATTTTCAAACATCAAAAATTAATATTTGCAAGGTGCATTAGATGAAAATCTCAGACACATATTTGCTCGTTTTCAATGTACCTTTACTGTGTCCAAGCTGATCAAAATCAGTGGGTAGCCAGCTGTGCAAGAGTGACTTACTCAAAAATAAATTCTTAACTAATAAAGATTTTATTGATTGTCAAAGGAAGGTCTTATTCTCTCCCATATACACCTTATACATGTTACACAACATGATTTTTATACTAAATAAATTTTTTTGCAATTTATTGAAGATATACTGGAGTATCTTTGAACAGTGATGTGATCTGAGTATAGGCTGTGAGTAGGATCTGTAACTATTTGAAGGTCAAATTGAAATAAAAATTTAATCATATAGGAAAGGATACTGTGGTAAATTAAAAAGTAAAAAAATATTATAAATAAAAAAAGATTTGGCATTGTTGAGGCTTCAGAAGTATAGTAAGAGAAAATGCCATATAACATTTGTTGAGAAGTTGAAAGTATGTGCATAGGAGAAATTAAATAATGGGAGATTCTAAGATTAAACATGAATTGGTGTAAGTGAAAAACAAATTCATTTCTCTTAATATGAATTCCATAGATTAATGCATTCTATTCTTTCTTATTAATAATTTTCAGAGCAAGAATGAAGTCTGTGAATTTGAATATTTTTTCTGCTATTATAGAAGCTGGATACAGTTATAATGCCACTTCCTGTCAGATCTGTATGTTGAAATTGAATTAAAACCCATTTTGCTTATATTTGAAGTTATATCAAATGAATGGGATTTTTTTCTCATGTTTCAGTAAAAGATGTACAAGTTGTTAAGTCATTAATAAAAATGGGAATAAAAGCAGCTTTCTTTTTGATGAAACATATGTATTGCATAAAGAAATATAGCATTATTCTGAAAAAAATACCAGATTAATACCAGACATCAAAACAGCTTGATGACAAAATAAACAAATAGTGAAATTTTTGTTAATTTGAAATTTAAAAAACAAACAATATAAATTAGTATGACAAATACTTCTGATTGTCTTCAAGTTTTGTCTCAAGATAGAAAAATAAGAATCTTAAATGATTTTTGGTTGCTACTTAAATATATAGATAAAAATATTTCTGTACATATATGGAGTAGAAAATATGGATGGTTGTAGAGATTTTACATCAAGGCAGAATTTATGTAAAATATTCAACATGAGAATATTTATTATATGAGAATAATTTATGTATATTTCAAATTATGTTAATTAAATGAAATTAATGTTACAAATATAGGGCAGTTATTTTATCTAGTTTTGTAAAAATTTTAATAGTAAGTTCATTAACTTGACTAAAGATGTTCTATCATACACAGGGTGTATCAGAATGATGTTTTAAAAATTTGGGGGATTGTAGAGGATGAAATTTTGAATGTTTTGATATTAAGGAACCTATAGCCAGAAATTTGAACTAAAGTGTGTACAGCGATAGGAAGTGCTTGACTTTGGTAGCTACCCTTCTGTCCATTGACGTCATGTTATTGCTGCGGATGGAAGACTGTAAACACACAACTACAGTGGTTTAACTGAGCCTGTGTACAGGACGTGTACTTAGTGCTTGTTGTCCTTCAGGTCACCCCTTGCATCTACTGGTGCTGTGAGTCAAAGTTGGTGGTCGTCACATTGAACATTTACTCTAAAGTAGTGCAGCCACTGATTCAATGTACAGTTTGAATGTACTCTACTGTTTTGTCAATAAAACTTGTAAATACTGTATTCTGCTGTTTCATTCGCTGTTTAATTCAGCATACTGACCACATAGAACATGCAAAGTGCTGTAGAAATGTTATATCACATTTCCAGCTATAGGTTCCTTATATCAAAATGTTCAAAATTTCCTTTACAATCCCCAAATTTTTAAAACGTTATTCTGATACACCCTGTGTAATATGTATATATGTGTATATATATATATATATATATATTAATAAACACTAATAAGCAAAATGTTTTACTACACAGATGATTTGTATTATTGTTTTATTTTATAGACTGACAAGTATAACTTATTTCCCAGTAGGTTTTACTTGAGGTTTTTATCAAATGAAATCATTAACTAAAATGTACTTTATTAATATTATTTATTTATTCATTATTATTTTAAAATTAATATTATTAATGTGTACAACTAATTGTATTGTTTAAATATCTTTTTAGTGCGTCGAGTTCCACCATATTTTTCAATTCCACCTGAGCCCATTTATGAAGTTATGCCTGGGACCAGCTTGAATATCACTTGTGTTGCTGTGGGTTCACCAATGCCCTATGTTAAATGGCGTAAAGGATCTGTAGATATTACACCTGAACATTCTATTCCAATTGGGAAAAATGTTATAATTCTTGAAAATATTAGAGAATCTATCAATTATACTTGTGTTGCTGCTTCAAAATTAGGAAATATTGAACAATTGACACAGATTATAGTTCAAGGTAATTGCTATAATTATTTTTAAAATATTTTATTATTATATTTTATTTATTATTAACTTTATATTTAGCTTTACCCAGACCACCAACTAATGTCAGAATATCTGATGTTACTGCTACTTCTGTCAGACTTTCCTGGTCATATGATATTGGTGTAGAAAATATTCAATATTATGTTATTCAGTATAAACCAAAGCAAGCAAATCAAGAATATAGTGAAATAAGTGGAATTACAACAATGTTCTATACTATTCGTGATCTTACTCCTTACACAGAATATGAATTTTATGTTATTGCAGTAAATGTAATTGGTCGTGGATCGCCCAGTACACCAGTTGTTGTTACTACAGGAGAAACAGGTAGATAGAATTTTAATTTTATTACTTACAGAATTAATCTTATTTGAAATATATTTCTCATATTCTTAATAGTTTTAATTTAACAATAAAGCAATAGATATTATTTTCAATTTTGTGTATGTGGAAATATTTTATTCCATAATTAGTGGGAAGAACAAAAAAAAATATATATATATATATATATACTGTATGATTTAATTAAAATATACTTATTTAATGCTATCAAGAAATAATTAACAGGCCAAGCACGACCAAATATGGCATGGTGACATTTCAGGACTTGTGGAAGCTACCTCTATAAAAAACAGTTGTACCAAAACTCACCACAATGACACTTTTGATGGTACAAGCAATTGCAAAGTTTTTCATGCCATGTTTGGCTCTCAGTATTGCCTTGGCCTGATTGGCCAGATGGCAAATTACACTTTATATAACAATGGGCTTCTGTAAAAAGTTTTACATCACATTGGTCTGGATGAAAAGTGACTCATTGTAAAGCACATTTTAAACATAGATTTTATTGACAGTCCAGGGGAGGTGTTATACTCTCCCATATACATTTTTCATATTATACAACGTGATTTTTTACACAACATGATATCAGCATGGAGAGTGAGTTATAAGTATTTATTATTAAAATTAGTGGTTCCTCCTTCCATTAACAACATTGGTGTTAATATTGCTCTTCTCATTTCTCAAGTTCAGGTCTTTGTGTTTTCTATTAGTCTTTCTTTCTTCCATTCTTGTTCTGAAGGGTTCCTTGAGAGGTCTGATCATTGTATCAGTATCCAGAACTATCCCACTACATATACTTCCTTCCTTCTAATGGAGGAGAGTATGCTCTACTGATGTTTGAGAATGAGTTTAAGCAGGATTCAGAAGGAATCCAAAAATGTTTGTGATGAAGGAATTCAAAAACATTGAAGTTTCATTGCTGGACTGAACTGAAGTTTTTGTGGCATGTTCTTTTTTAATATGAATTTTAGTTTTTGCTTTATTTCAAAAATTTCTCATTTTCAAGTTTAATTTTTCAGTTTTGGTTAATAGTTCTAAAAAATCTGAATTAAGAAACTTAAGAATTAAGAGACTATTTTTTAATAATTTTTTTCATTATAGCATGCTTATAAATTTTTGATTTGTTTTAATTGTTAACAGTAGTCAAGAAAGATTACATCATATCTGTCCCATACTTCTTTATGTCCTGACAATCAAGAAAGAGAAAGTGTGCAATATCTTCCCCCCTTTTTTGCCACTTTCCAATGGTGTATTTTTTTTGCACCAAGATATACAGTCCATAATCTTTTGTTTCCTTTCTTGCTTTGTCAGACAACACTTTTTAATCATCTAAAGTCTGGTACCAAGAAACAGAATCTCAAACCTAAAGTCCTGTTTTGTCCTTGTATTTATAAGCTTTTTCAGCTTTAGACTCCTGTTGGTCCATGAGTCCCACATAGGGATTGCTGATTTGAATATGATTCTGTTCTCTAGGCTGACTTGTGTCCTGCAGACATTAGCCGACTCCTCTACAACTGGCCATATGAAAGGGCCATGATCCTGACAACATTGAAAATAATAGAAATTATCTACAGATAATCATTTACTTAAAATTAGTTTCTTGAATAAAGTTTTCTAGAAAAGTTTTTGTTCAAAATGTTAAGTTTGGTTTGATATCAATATGAATTATGGCAAACTAAATAATTAATAGAAAAAGGTAATATTAAATCAACTGACACAATACCTAGGAACCAGCAAAATTTCATTTACTATTCAAACAAACAATTTCATCCACATTCAGTTGGACAACTTCAGGCTGTAGATGTCCAATTGAATGCAGATGAAAAAATGTTTGTGTGAATAGTAAGTGAAATTTTGCTGGTTTAGAATCTAGGTTTTTGTCAGTTGATTTAGTACATTTTAACCAGCATTCAGCTGTTGTCAAAAGGCAATATGTTATAATTTGATATTTATTAATCAAATGAAATTATCTAAATTTTCTACAAGAAAAGCATGAAAGGACAAATACCATGCTGGGATTTTATAGAATAGAGCAGAATGGATATAAATAAACTTACAAAATAATTTTGAGAACTTTGAAAGAATTTGGTTATTGATTGATTACTATTACAATGCATTTTATTGTTTTTAAAACATAATTAATGGATTTATTAGCAAAATCTCTAAGCAACATATTTGTTAAGAAGGGTCCTTCAGATGTAAAAATCCAACTCAGAACTATTGAATGCTTAATTATGAAGTGAAATGAGTATTAAAAACTTTTCAATTTTGCACTTTTATATACTATATATATATTTTAAAAATTTTTTAAAAATAAATAGCAGCTTATTTAGTACAATATCCACATACTGTATAATAAAAATATAAATACCACTACTTTCATATTATACAGTTTATATCAAAGATTTTGGGTTATTGATGATCATTAGAATAAGATAGATGCACAATTAATACAATAATAATCAACAATTATCAGCCATTATGAATTCCTATGGCATTATACATTAATTAATGCTGTAAGTTGAAAAGTTGAATAATTTAATAATAAAAAGAAAATATCCAGATTTACTTTTTATGTTTAGTTTTATAACAAATATAGATTATATCTATGTAAGATAGTTATATTAAAATAGTATCTCATCTAAAAGCATAATATAAGAATAAATTAAAACAGGTTATGGCTTAACTAGAGAGAGAAATTACCTTATGTACTGTACTTTCCAGCAAATTATTCTTTAATCATACTAACATGGGGTTTTTGAAAAGAGATTCAATTTCAAACAATATTTAAAATTCTGTTAAGTTTAGAAATTTTGAAAAAAACCTGATAACAGTTTATTAATAAAGCCAAAAATGTTAGTTTGATTAAAGAATTAATTTGCTGAAAAAGTACATAAGGTAATTTGTCTCTCTAGTTACCGTCTAGTTCTAGCATACACCAATATCGATAGTTTATGGCTTGCAGTTCACAATTATCAGTATATTAAAATATGTAGAAAAAATTAAAAATTTTAAATATATTTTTATAAATATCACATTAAATACTATATATGTAAAAATAATTATACTAGTAGCTCTATCCCTGTAATATGGTAGACAATTCTAAAAGTTGCAATTCATTTTAAAAGCATTTTCAAGAATCTCTCATATCACTATACAAAGTATTGAAATTTGTAGAAATAGAATTCATAATTTATATATAGAATCATCATGTGAGTGCAATTTATTTGTAATAGTATAATAATTTAAAGTAATGACTTAGAATAAGTAGTAATTAAATATATCATGATTTACAATAATCTGTAATTAATTAAAATGTGTTGTAGATAACATATAACTATAAATAAATTGTTCATTTGAATAATATTAGCATTATCATTATTCATAATTTTAACAAATTAAAATTTATATTTTGCTAATGAACTGGATAATATATCATTTACCTTCTTAATTTTCCACTTTTAAAATAATTTTTAAGTGTTATAAATTATTTTCAGGAATTTCTATTTTGTTTTTTTTTTAATAAAACAATGATTTTTATTTAAAAAATGAATTGAATTTTATTTAAAAAAGGAATCATAACACTTATTTGTAAGTGTTATGATTCATTTTTTAAAAATTAAATCATATTAATGTCACTGTAATGTTAAAATAGTCATTTAAATTGTTTTATTATTTGTTATATTTTCACAGAAATATTTAATAGTAAATTTATTAAATAATGTATTATTATTGTTATCTGATTTTTATATAATTATAGTTTAATTTGAAAAATATTTCATCTGAATAAATTTAACGAAATGCAGCAATATTATGTATTTCATATTTTATATTATTCTATATTTGTATTAAAGTATTAATATTTGAAAGTTTTTATTTCTTTGTTCTCTCTGTGAAAATATATTACTTATAAAAAGTTTTAAAAATTAGATGCACCTTTCATCTGTATAAATACAATTTTCATATTGCACTGTAGCATATTTTTCTTTTTATTTCCATTCCTAGTGGAAACTCCAGGAAGCACCAGTAAGTGTAGTATATCTGTGTTTTTTCATCTATTCTGTTTTGCAAATTTTTTTTTCTCATCTGCATGCTTTAAACTAAGGAATAATATATAATTAANTTCACAAAGTTTACAAAGTTTAGATATAAAAATTAGATGCTGCTTCAAAAGATTAAGTGATTTTAATATGAATATGAAAAATCAACTATATTAATGTGCCAATTAGAAATGCTTTGAATGTAATTTTTTAAGAATTTAAATTTTAAAAAAGATATAACTTAACAAAAATGTGATGTTAGTTAAGAACAAGTAAATAATCATCATCATATAAAATAATACGTTGTAAAAATAAACCTTTAACAAAGTAAAGATAATTGTATAAAAATTATTTCAAATGTTCCAGCTTGAACTTCAGTTCATAATATGACAAAACTATAGCCTTATTCACTCCTTTCCAGCAAACAATTTCAGTCTTGTACTTCTCAAGGAAGTCAAATATTAGAGCAAGACTGAAATTATCTGCTGGAAAGGATTAAATCTGTAGTTTTGTCATATTAGGATAAAAATTATATAATTATTATATAAATTCAGTTATTTTTTTCCTATAAAAATTCAAACAATTTTAGATAATGATATATTCAGTAAAGCATGCAAGTAAACAATGTATTCAGTTAATATTACTATTCAAAACCATTTTGATGCAGCAGATTATTTTTAATGAAATAATGTCTTTGGCTGCTTTTATCAGCCCTCTTCTGGTTCTAACTACAAAACATTAATTAAATGGACTGTTGCAGTATAGAATGTCTTATGGATTGGTTCAGTTCAACATTTGAATATGAAACCATTTGATTTAACATTTATACATACAACAAATTCTGGAGTATAATGACTTCATTCAAGATTAGGAGAAACAATAAAATCATTGAAATTATAAGAGTCAGTTTATTGGCAAAATGTTTTTCTGGACTCAGACTACAAAGATTCCATTTATGGTCTGAAATTTCCATATGGTTTCTTTTGAGCATTTTGGAATACAAATTCTTGATTAAATTCTTGAAATTATTCTTGACTTTAATTCTTGAAAAGATTTTAAACATGTCAAATCAATTGAATTTGTAACAGTAATATAATATATAGTGATAGAATAAATATAAAAATAAATGACCATAGATAACTGATATAAGAAATATAAACAATAATAATAGTAAAGCAAAAAATAAAATAAAACATAAAAGCATAAAATATGCAAAAGAATGAAATAAACTAAAATAACACAATTATAAGAAAACACAACATGCTTAGTAAGTATTTATAGACTCAATTAGAAGTCTGTAAATTTAGTTCAGATCACAACATGGGGAAAGAGCAGAGTATGTTATTAATACAGGCTGAGAAAGTGGAAAGGGCTGCACACAGTGGAGAAACTGAAAGAAGGTATAAAGAATGAAGAAGCTAGGGGAAGGGGAAATAAAGTGAGATAGGAGAGAGGAAAAGGGAGTAACCATAGGGTCTGTGGGACCCATGGGGCATCAGCAACATATTTATTAAAATGTAGACAAAGTACAAAGTTACAAATATAAAATAGTAGAAGGTTATTATAAAATATGTATATTGATGATACCATGAAAATTTACAAACTACAGAGCACAGAATATAGTTGTGTGACAGAAAATATGTGTGTGGACACTGAGTACAATAATGCAAGAGCAACAGAGTAACTCGACAATATTGTAAACAATAATACCAGTGGAGATACAGTAAAATACAGGAGTTACATGTTGGATATGATAATACACGGTGAATAATGTTGGCAGAACAATAGCAGGATGCAGTGTGTAGATTACCCACATAATAGTAGTAAAAATATACAAATAGGTACAAATCCCAGTTACAATAGATGTACCAGTACATATAAGTAAATTAAAACAATAAAATAATGTGCAGAATAATGAACAGAGAACAAATAAACAAAATATCCTGGAATGTAAATAAGAGTCCAGAATTTATGTTATTAAATTAATAGACAGTCATATGTGTTAATGTAAAGTGAGGAAAGTAACTATACCCAGAGATCCAGGTTACCATCTTCCCTTTTTTTGTTTAGGAGAGGGAGGGTAGATGTCTCTATAAAAAGGTCTTCAGCCATTCTAAGAGGGAGAAACCTTGTGTCTAATATGATGATCTCAGCTGTTTGCTATCTGGAGTTGTGTGCTGGTTGGAAAAAAGCTCTTTGGCTAGGGCATTGATATTTTGCCCTTTCTTTAGGCCTTTCTTGAGTTCTTTTATTTTGGTTGCTAATGTGTAGCATGTACTACCCAGAATGAAGACTGTATTATTATTACTTTTATCCATGATCAATACTTTTGTCTTCTTTAGAGAAGGCTTTTTGTCATTTTTAATATTTCTCTTAATGATTTATAATAAGCTATTGTAAAAATTACACTTGATATTGATACTTTTTGAATATGACATTTTTTCATTTGATATGTAATACTGTTTTTGAACATATACAACAGGGGTGGCCAACTTTTGTGTACATAAGGTCTACTTTTTATCTTAAAAATGTGTCGCAATTGACTTGTTGTCATAGGCATAGTCTAAGTGGCAAGGGGGGAGGTGTGAAATACATACTATGTTTAGATAGGTAAGAAAAGCCACAATTTAATTTAAAATATGAAGAAAGGATACTTACATTTTAAACAGAAGAAAAATCGAAACTCAATGTTGTGACTTTCGGGGACCACAACTTCACCCTTACTCTCTCTACCATGTCCCGACCTATTCTCTCTGTCCCTTTTCCTGCCTTTCTTTTTTTGTTTTACAACCCTTTGTCTACACTTCTTATTCCCCTTTTACAACTTTATGCAAATGGATTGCACATGGACCAACAAAACCGCATTCAAGGGAGGACACGGAGGTCCGATATCACTACAGTTGTGTTTGTATGTTATGTTTGGTTATGAGTTTAACACATTAAGTCAAGACATTGCAAGTGATCGACCAAAATTGGCTTGTTGGCCACTCCTGATATACAATATATAATTTTTAAAAAATGTAACTTTATTAATCACTTAACTTTCTTTGGTTTAATTTGGACAATGTTTGAATTGCCATTTTTATCATATATCAATGTTTGAATATGACAATTTTTAATTGTCATATTTAATATGTAGCTATTTTTTTGCTATAGTCATTACTTTCAATAGCCAAAAAAATTTTAGAATTTAATGAATTATTTTGAATATCAACATTCATTTATATACTCAATAACAGCCTTATATTTTTAAGTGCAATTGATTTAACATTAATGTTTAATCAAATTATATATTATAATTAAATAAAACGAGTCTTAAAAAATATCTTTCTAACAATTATTTAGGAGTTATAAGTTTGATATACATTTTATATATGTGGATGTGATGAGGATTAGTAATAATTTTTAATATTAATTTTATATAATCATTAATATGATTGAAGATCAAAAATGAAAACTATTTTAAAATATTAATGAATATAATTAATGTTGATATGATAATATAAAAAAAGATTGATTATAAAAAATTTGTCATTAAGTTTTTTCCGTTTAAAAAGTTTGTTTTACATAATTACAGCATGAAGTTTTTTGCAAAAATAAATTTTAAAAAAATTTTTCGTTAATATTCTTCTACAAGAATATTTACAAGGAAGAGAATTATGTTTTTCTATAATTTTTTTCTTTATAGATTATTGCATTTGTATAGTAAAGTATAATTGTTAATATTTCAAATAAGTTGGCATCTAACCTTTATTTTAACATTGTTTTTAAGAATAAAAAAATTTTAAAACATAAATATTTCGAATTTTTTTTCATTTTTATGTTAAAAATTGACAAAATAAAAATCTTAATATAAAAGATTGTACAGAAACATTTACATATTAAATGATAATAAGATAAAGTTGAATTTAAGTTCTTTATTTTTAGAAATTAGGAAGATTGTTTCAAACTAAAAAACTATATTATGTTTGTACAAGTAATGTATTAGACTTTTTATTTTAAAAGTCACAAGAAAATTTAAGTTAAAATGCATTGATATATAATTTCATAAAATTTTATATAAAAGTTGTTTGTATAATAGAAACAAGTAAACATTATAATTGAAAATATTTTTATTTTTTATTTTTGAATATTAATTTAGTAATAATAAATAATAAATTTCACTAATTTATATATTTATAATAAATACTTTATAAATAATTACAAATTTATTTTATGAATAGAACCAGGAAGTGCTCCCAGAAATGTTCAAGCCAGACCTTTAAGTTCAAGCACAGTTGTTATACAATGGGATTCACCAAAAGAACCAAATGGACAAGTTACAGTGAGCATAAATTATATATATATAAACATACATAAATTATCATGACAATATTTATATACAAATAGGCCTACTTAGTTGCCAGATTTTCATTTAATTAGTTACTAGCCATTATTTATGTGAAAACTTAATTGCTAAATTTTTTAGCAATTAAGTTTTCACATAAATAATAAATTGATTACTTAAAAATTTACAAAATATATCATATTTTAGAACATTGATTATTATAAGACTTCCTTATAATTAAGCTGTGTGCAATTTATTCTTCTTCTAGTAATTTTTAAAATATTTGTAATAAATTTTTTTTGTAAAATCTTGTATAAGATTATGTTTTAATACACTTGTTAAACAAACATTTATGCAAACTATTATGGGAACTGAGGGGGTTAAGCAGTGAGCTAGTCCCCACTTATTGGCTTCTTGTCAGGTGATGGCTTTAGGAGGGCTAAAAGTGAGTGGGGAGGTCGATGAGCAAGTCGACTAGGTGTCCATAAAAAAGCATAGACAGGTCCCCAGGTTCAAAAAATAACACATTTAATAATGATAAAATAATACAAGCAAAGGCAAAAGTGAATGGCTACAAAAATGGAAATAATCAAAATTCTAGGTCACAACAATGATTAATCTATTCTTGTCGTCTAAGTTCTGGACCCTTTCCATTCAGTATTCTCTAAATTAAACTATTCTTAATCTATGAGACAAACCTGAGAGAGAGAGAGAGACCTCTCAGAGAGAATATATACTATTAAAATTTCCTATAATACCTTTATGTTCCTGATCTCGTAGCGTAGGTTATTGGTAGAATGTTCCTTGATCGGCGGAGTTGACAATTGGAGATTATGGCAGGGTGACGACAGACAGAGTGGTGGTATGGGTAAGTTGAGGCCGCAATTGATGTCTTCAGGGGATGTTCGCCCAAAGGACTGTGTCCAAGCCCTTTTTATACACGTCCTGGAGGGGGTGACTAATACAGTCAACCCCCCCATAACACTGTTGATAATTCCGTTTTATATGAATTCCATGTTGTACGAATCACTTAGATTTTACAAATATGTGAGCCGTTCACAGCCCAGCACACGTATTTGTAAAATCTAAGTGACTCATACAACATGGAATTCATATAAAACAGAATTATCAACAGTGTTATAGGGGGGTCGACTGTACTGTCTGATGCAATCACATGTAAGTTCGACTTACGTCAGAGGTTTGTTTACATTATTTGTCAGGAATCATACCATTCTTTAGATTTATTATTTTTTCTCTCCATTATTGTGACACTTTCCCATCATAAATTTGACAACAGCTATCAAACTCACTGAATTAATTGCCAAAGGTGACTAAGGTCATAGTATATGGTGCAACCTGAGTAATGATTGTTCAATTGGTCGACCCTTGCAGTGACCCTTTTGTTACCCTCTATCACATAACAAGTTGAAGGTTCTCATTAATTGGCTAGTTAATTGTACATCGAAACGAAGGTAGAAATGAATAATTCCCTGTCGCGAGGGGAGAACTTTATCTGTCGTCCTAAACATCTTTGAAAACTTAAAAGGTCACCTTCCAAAGTGATGCAGAACATTAATGGGTCAAAAGGTCTAATTGCAACCATCAAGAAAATGAAACTGGAGGAAGAAGGGAAATAATAATGAATGTAATAATCACTTCACAATGACTTTTTCAATATTAAAGGTTACACTTACGTGTTGTGGCATTACAAACGGTAACTGTTTAGAGTTTGGATAAGTTCATAAGCACTTTCGATAACTTATAGTTACCATCTTCAGGTGTAAATCAAATACAACAGTTTTATATCTTGAAATTTTCGAACAGCTTGTTGATCTTAATGAAGAAGCTAGATAGAACACCAATTTAAATTGAAAATTGGAATATAGTTTGAAAATATTTTTTGCACAGCAGTATGAATGATGTAGTATTCACAAACAATAAGTGCTAAGCAACTAGAAATACTTCTTGCATTGCTCATTACTAGAGCGTTGCAAGAAGCTGGTTACTCCCAGTCAAAATTTTATTATCTCCGGAATCGTGTTAAAAATAAACTATTTCTGCAAACTTTTCTCACTAACAAAGAGGAGCTAAAAATAGCACACCTCCGTTACTGTTTTTAGGTCCTGTATCTCTTAAAATAGTATGTCTTTTTAAAGCAAATAGTTTTATTTTACCACTAACTACACAACCAATGCTAAGAAGATTATTATGTAACGATAGAGACATCTTTAAATTGAATGAAAAATTGGGAGTTTATCAAATTCCGTTAAAGCATGACCAATCAGGAGAAGAAACTACCTATATAGGAGCCACAGCCAGAACGCTAATATCTCGCATCACAGAATATCAAGAGGACATCGTAAATAATAGACCATCAACGGAATTGGCAAAAAAAGTGCTTGATCAGGAATATCAGCCAATCTGGGCCCAAACAAAACTATTAAAAGGATGCAACATTCAAAAAGAACTTTTTATTTGGGAGAACCTTTATATATCGACTCTTATACAGTGCAATGCAACAACTGTAGAAATTCCACAAATATGGGCAACACTATTTAAACATTATAATCTGCATTTCTAGAGCTTCAACGTTGCTTAGCACTTATTGTTTGTGAATACTACATCATTCATACTGCTGTGCAAAAAAATATTTTCAAACTATATTCCAATTTTCAATTTAAATTGTTGTTCTATCTATCTTCTTTGTTAAGATCAACAAGCTGTTCAAAAGTTTCAAAATATAAAACTGTTGTATTCAATTTACACCTGAAGATGGTAACTATAAGTTATCAAAAGTGCTTGTGAACTTATCCAAACTCTAAACAGTCACCGTTTGTAATGCCACAACACGTAAGCATAACCTTTAATAATAAATAATAATGAATAATAATAAAAAAATATTTTGATTTTTAAAACTCACAAAAGAGCCTAAATCCTCACACTATTGTTATAAATTATAATATTGCAGCAATACATCTAACTGAATTATTATAGCTTATAATACTATCTTGAATGAATATTTTATTTTAATAATAATATAATTTAACCTATATAAGTGTTAGAATACCAAGTTGCATTACTATATTTTAAATTAATTTAATTCAACATAACAGTTTTTTTATTTTTTTTAAGTACTAATATAATAATAATATTTTATTTCCAAGGGAAATTTTCCCTATTAAGGGGAATACAAATTTCACAATAAGTATTATTTCGGTCTACATGATTAATATATATATTAGAAATAAGTGTATTAATTATAACATACCATGGTCTAGCAAGACCACTTAAATAATAACATTATTTGTTGAATTTAGACAATAGAAACATAAAGTAACTTAATGATACATTATCAATGATTTAAAACAACAATGTAAATCAAATAATTAAATATTACAAAGTAATTTTTCAGTGTATTTGACAAAAAATTGTAAATTCTATAAGCATTATTTTCTATTGATATTTTTAAAGTTGTTTTTGAAGTCTAGAGATGAACTACCATTACATATATTTCGATTAATTTTTGATCAAGTCTGTTTAAATGCTCATCCCTCGAGAGGTGGTTGATTTGTATTAAAAAACCATTACCTTTATATTTAGAGTCCATATTATCTGCAATTCTTGCATTGAAATCGCCCAAAATTATGGAATAAGGAGTCATATTTTGACAGATCTCCATTTGTTTAGTTATTTCATTTAAAGTTATTATGTCATCAGATGAAATATACATAAGCATTAAAGTTATTAAATTATTTGTAATATTAGCCAGAGCAGATTTAATGATTTGAACAAGGAGCAGAATGAAATTATTAGAATTTTTTTTTTGTTTGTTTGTAAAATTTTGCAAAGACCTTTTTTTATTAGTATGCAAAGACCTTCACTTGGGAAGCCTGGACCTATTGGTTTTTTGCCAAATATGACACTATTGTAAATTTTTCAAAGAAGATAGAATTGTAGACTATTTCAGAACATATCCAGGTTTCAGTGATGACAATAATATCTGGATCATGTTTAGAAATAAAGGCATCTAATTGTAGTATTTTATATTTAAGTCCTTGACTATTCCAGTTTATGATTGAGAGGCTTTGATTATTAGGGTAGAGTTTGCAGGATTGAGTTTTGTCTTGCTTATTAATATGTCATTTAGTTAAATTTTCTATTCTTGATGATAGAAGAAAAGTATCTATATGCACCAGTTTTCCTGTGTTTAAATTATAAGTTAGCTTTTCATGATCAGTTACTAAGATGTCATTTTGCAATTTTACCTGAGGGTTTTGTTTACATAATTCATAAAAATTTGGCAGTAAATATTTCCTTCTATTTCTTGAGTTGTTAGTTAAATCTGGAGAAATCTGTATGTTTTGCCATTCCTCTAGTAGACTTTATTGTTTTTTTTCATATGAAGGTAGAAAAAATAAGATCTCTAGTTTGATTATTATTAAATGTTATTCTTGTTGTTAAATTTGGCGTTTTCGATAGTTGGACTATCTCTAGTATATTGTCTTGAGTTATATTATTTATATTTAATACATTAGTAATAAATTTTAGTATTTCTGCTCTTGAAGTGGTTTTGTAGGTTGGATAATTGTACATTATTATGTTGTTATGACGATGTTCATTTATTAACATGTCCATTTTAAATAGGTGAAATCTTTGTTCGTTTATAATTTTTCTACTTGATGTTTCAAACCATCAATCTCCTCTTTCATTTTTTTCTGATTTTCCTTCATTTCTCGAATATTTTTGTGGATAATATCTAGTTCTTGTTTAATCACAACCATTTGATTAAAAAGTTTGTCGTTGGTAGTGTTGATTAAGTCCAATATTTTATTCCAAAGCACTGAAGTATAAGTGTCTGGGAATTTATTTGTTACATTAATCGAGGTCTGATCAGAAATAGTTGACTCACCTGAGTTGTTGTTTTCATAAATCTGTGATAAATTTAAATTGTAATTCTTATCACTAATGGATTCTTCATGGAGATTTTTTTTGGAAATGAAATTAAAGTCTATTAACGACCTGGGATTTGAAGAAGATGGCTGATTCTTCCTAGTATCCAATTTAGTACAATTCAATGGAGGTCTACCCCTCTTGACTGGAGAACGTTGCATGATTATTCTTGTTATTACCGATATAAATAGTATTAATTGATAACAAATTAGGCTTCTTGTAGTAGCAAATAGTAAAAAAAAAACACTTATCTCTTATTCTAGTATGAGTGGCCAGATACAAAGGAAAACATGCCAACAGCCTCGACGGATGAACATGCCCCCAGTTTTTTATTTTTATATAAAATGAGTTATTTCTAAATTGTTTTTAACTAATAAAATCAAAATGACTATTAAAATATACAGCAACGCATCAATTATCCGATTCAATTGGGGACTCAGGTTGGTCGGATAACTGAAAAAATCGGATAACCGAAAAGAAGGAAAAAAATTATTAGTATAGTATATTAGGATATTAGTATATCCCATGTAATTAGTTTATTAGTATATTGCTATTAACCAACTTTGTGTTGAATTTTCATCAATGTTTAGCCTAACAAATTTTTTCTTTTTTAAATAATAATTGTCGCTATTGTATCGTTAAAAATTATTTTTAAATTATTTTATTGCTCACGAAACAAACAACCACTCATAATTAAAAAATTAAGTCTCGTTTAAATACTGGCCTCCCTTCAATGGTCGAGCCGTTGATGCCAGCTAAAACACGCAAAAATTTAACAAAAATAATATTAAAGTAGACAAGACATAGCCAAATATTGTAATGCCACATCATTAGTGGACATTTGAAATTTGCCGACTAGAACGGTCGGTTAACTGATGTGACAGTTAATTGGGGGGTTGGATAATCAATGCTCTACTGTACTTTGAAATATTTTAAAAAAGTGTTTATTTACTTTATGAATACATTGTTTAGATAAAAATCTTAAAATCTAAAATTCAAAAAAAGAAATAAAAAAATAATAAAATATACAGATAATAATAAATAAACTTTTATTATTATTTTTTTTAATTAGAAACTAAAAGTAATTTATTTTCAGGGTTACAAAGTGTTTTATACTACACAGCCAAATCTGCCAACTTCTGCTTGGAATTCTCAAACAGTAGACAATAATCATTTAACAACAATAAGTGATTTAACACCACGTACTATTTACACAATACGCATTCAAGCTTTTACTAGTCGTGGTCCTGGACCACTTTCAGCTCCAGTACAAGTAAAAACACAACAAGGTGGTAAGTGTAAATATTGATAAATGAAAAGTTTAGATCAGTTTAGAAAATTAAAATTTTTATTTTATGTATGCAACATTTCTATATCTATTTCAAATTTAATTCCTAATTATTCTGCTTGTTTTTACACATTTTTCAATTTTGTCTTAGAGGTTTCTTTATGTTTAAATTAGTCATAACTTAGAAATAAAAAAATAACATTGATTTATTTCTTAAATTTAAACTATAGGTATAATTAATACATGATTAATTCAAAATCTACCAGAATATATGTTTTTTCTGCTAATGTTTGTCTTTTTGAATGTAACATAAATATTTTTGAATATTTTAATATGTAACCAAGATAAAATGTTACGTAAATTTTATGAAAATATCTTAATTGTCAGTTTTATCACTTCATATAAATCTATTTGCTTAAGTCTAAACATATTCTTTGACCTGTTCATCTGTAATTGTTTGGGAGTAATCTTTCTTTTAACTTTATCTAATGCTGGTCTATCATAATTTAATGTTATAATCTTTTTAAGTTAAATAATTATAAGATGTTATATCTTTATCTTATTGATATCTATTAATGATTAGTATAAATATTCAGTTATTGGTATAACAAGATTATTAATGTCACTAGGGAACATGATTTTGCCCTTTTAAGTTAAAGACTGTTTCTAATGTATTTTGAGTACAGAATGCAAAAATGACCCTCAACATTTTCTGTCACAACTGTTTTTCATATTTTCAATTTTTAAGAAGAAAATGTAAATTATATGAACATATTAAAATAAGGCAAATTTTGTTGTCCACAAAAACCTCAATGGAAACCTAATGGGGAAATTTTATATTATTTGAAAAATAGCAATTATTGATGGATAAACATGAAAAATTTTATTTTACTCTACTTCCAATGATTTACTAGGAAAATGTTATGAGAGTTTTCTGAGAGGGAAACACTGATCCTGTTTGTCAGCATCCAAACAGCTGACAAACTGATCCTGTTTGTCAGCTGTTTGGATCAGTTTGTGTCTCAGATCTAGTATTGATACTACAAAAATATTGATACTTATATCAGGAATAGTTTTAAAGTATTGATATTGGTATCGGTCTTAAAGTATCAATACCAGCCAGTATCAACATTGGATATTGAAATTGGAAATCTTAATGGATGTCACCGTTTGGTGTGTTGTGTCACCGGTGATCCAGTTGTTTTTACTGTACTCATTTTAATGAAGGCTGCTTGGACGCCAGAGCAGTAATTAGTATTTTGTTGCTTACTCCAAGGGATGCTTACTGCAAGTCAGTGCATCAGTCAATACTTCAGTTTACACTCATATGGTGTCTTATGTACACAAAAGAAAACCCAGATTCTGCTATATAGTTGTATACTAATTGTATTCACAGAGCCTACAGTCCTGCAATGGGCTCTGAGTACTAGTATATATGGGATGGGTGGATAAGAAATCATTGGAATAAAACAGTGTCATTATTGTGTTCAAATTTTACAAATATCAGTGCATATAAGTATATACAAATTGTAGCTCATTTTAAAGATCCCAATGATCAAAATTAATTATGCAGTACTTTTGTTTCTTAAAGTCTAACAAAATATTTATTTATAAATAGAAATCAGAAGCATATGTAGATTGTGGAAATGAAATTAGACATAATACCTTTATTGATTTTTGGTCATTAATATTTTTTTACATAAGTTTAACTTAACTGAAAATAGTGTAAAATTACATTTCGATTTCTGATTCTGCTGCAAAATCCAGTTTTGGTTGGATCTTACCAGTCTGTGAAAAATTAATGATATCAAATTCAATACCTGAAGTAAAGTATTGATACCAGTATTTGTATCAGATCAAGAGTATCAAGTACAAAAGGTACTTGATATAGAAGGAAGGATATGGTATCAGCAGTATCAAGGTCCCCTACTCACAACTGTGCTGTGTGAGACAAAATGGAGGTGAAAAAGCATACGAAATGTCTGAATGATTTAGGTAGCTTTTGTTATGTTTGGGGAGAGTTCACTCCACAGTCTCAGAAGAAAATAATGAATATTACAAAACTACATACTCATTATATTTTGGCTGTGCTGTTGGAAAGACTGGCAAAAGTTGAGTGCCTCATTTCTGCTGCATAATCTGTGATAAACCTAAAGCAGTAGATTACATGTAAAATGAAACCCATTAATTTTGTATCATCTATGGAATGGCATTAAAAATCTAATCCTTTTAATGACTAAAATATGTGTGTAAATTTTGTATGACTAAAATACTGAGTGTGTCAAGAAAACTGAAATCTTGTGTAATCTATTCTAATGTGCGATCAACAATTATACTGGTTTCTCATAGTGAAGACCTACTAATTCCAATTCCCCTTACACATGGGAAGATTCATCACCTTCCATGTGGAAGGTGATGAATCTTCACAGTGAAGTTTCTGGGAAAGAACAGTTAATAGTACAGGTCATAGAATATCAGTGTGATGAATAAGGCAATGCTGTTTTTCTCATTGTTCAGGAGGAGCTTATATGTGATTTAAATTTGAGTTAAAAGGAGTAAAATGGGTATATTAATACATGGGTGTTTTACAAATCAAATTATCACCCATTACTAGTACCTTCCCATTCACATGACCCATTTTCTTATAAAATCACGGCATTCAGAGCTCTAGTTAGAAGAGCATATACACACTGTTCAGACATTGCAAACACCATGAAAGATAATAGAAGAAATAGCCAGAATACACAAATATGATAAGAAGTTTATACAAAACCTGGCACAAAAAATAGAAAACAAATATATGAAGCATCCGCAACCAGAGGTCACCATACCTCCCAACAACTAGATGAATAAGTACAGATTTTGATAATAGACTCAAATTGATTTATAAACAAATTGCTAAATATTTAAATGCCAGCTTATGCTTCCAAGAAATGCCACAATCTACACAAATTGCTACACAACAGTAAATATGAGATAGACAACAACAATGCACTGAGTATATATTCAATCTTGGTAATAGACAAAAGATTTAATCACCAACTTACATACATTGGGTCAACAATTAGATCTTTAAAATGCAAAATAATGAACATAAATACAACATGGATAACAACAAATCAACAACCATTTTAGCTCAGTATGCAACAGACCCAGGATGTTTGCAATTCTAAATGCAACAAAAATAATAAAAAGAATCTATGATGAACATTACTTAAGAACACTGGAAACATTAGAAATATTCAAGACCCACATTGAANTATATATTTATAATAAATACTTTATAAATAATTACAAATTTATTTTATGAATAGAACCAGGAAGTGCTCCCAGAAATGTTCAAGCCAGACCTTTAAGTTCAAGCACAGTTGTTATACAATGGGATTCACCAAAAGAACCAAATGGACAAGTTACAGTGAGCATAAATTATATATATATAAACATACATAAATTATCATGACAATATTTATATACAAATAGGCCTACTTAGTTGCCAGATTTTCATTTAATTAGTTACTAGCCATTATTTATGTGAAAACTTAATTGCTAAATTTTTTAGCAATTAAGTTTTCACATAAATAATAAATTGATTACTTAAAAATTTACAAAATATATCATATTTTAGAACATTGATTATTATAAGACTTCCTTATAATTAAGCTGTGTGCAATTTATTCTTCTTCTAGTAATTTTTAAAATATTTGTAATAAATTTTTTTTGTAAAATCTTGTATAAGATTATGTTTTAATACACTTGTTAAACAAACATTTATGCAAACTATTATGGGAACTGAGGGGGTTAAGCAGTGAGCTAGTCCCCACTTATTGGCTTCTTGTCAGGTGATGGCTTTAGGAGGGCTAAAAGTGAGTGGGGAGGTCGATGAGCAAGTCGACTAGGTGTCCATAAAAAAGCATAGACAGGTCCCCAGGTTCAAAAAATAACACATTTAATAATGATAAAATAATACAAGCAAAGGCAAAAGTGAATGGCTACAAAAATGGAAATAATCAAAATTCTAGGTCGCAACAATGATTAATCTATTCTTGTCGTCTAAGTTCTGGACCCTTTCCATTCAGTATTCTCTAAATTAAACTATTCTTAATCTATGAGACAGACCTGAGAGAGAGAGAGACCTCTCAGAGAGAATATATACTATTAAAATTTCCTATAATACCTTTATGTTCCTGATCTCGTAGCGTAGGTTATTGGTAGAATGTTCCTTGATCGGCGGAGTTGACAATTGGAGATTATGGCAGGGTGACGACAGACAGAGTGGTGGTATGGGTAAGTTGAGGCCGCAATTGATGTCTTCAGGGGATGTTCGCCCAAAGGACTGTGTCCAAGCCCTTTTTATACATGTCCTGGAGGGGGTGACTAATACAGTCAACCCCCCCCATAACACTGTTGATAATTCCGTTTTATATGAATTCCATGTTGTACGAATCACTTAGATTTTACAAATATGTGAGCCGTTCACAGCCCAGCACACGTATTTGTAAAATCTAAGTGACTCATACAACATGGAATTCATATAAAACAGAATTATCAACAGTGTTATAGGGGGGTCGACTGTACTGTCTGATGCAATCACATGTAAGTTCGACTTACGTCAGAGGTTTGTTTACATTATTTGTCAGGAATCATACCATTCTTTAGATTTATTATTTTTTCTCTCCATTATTGTGACACTTTCCCATCATAAATTTGACAACAGCTATCAAACTCACTGAATTAATTGCCAAAGGTGACTAAGGTCATAGTATATGGTGCAACCTGAGTAATGATTGTTCAATTGGTCGACCCTTGCAGTGACCCTTTTGTTACCCTCTATCACATAACAAGTTGAAGGTTCTCATTAATTGGCTAGTTAATTGTACATCGAAACGAAGGTAGAAATGAATAATTCCCTGTCGCGAGGGGAGAACTTTATCTGTCGTCCTAAACATCTTTGAAAACTTAAAAGGTCACCTTCCAAAGTGATGCAGAACATTAATGGGTCAAAAG